TCATAAAGAAATGCTTGAGAGCAATATAGCTAATGGTACTCAGATCTCATTGTAAAAAGGTAAATCTACAAAATACAAGGGGTCATATCTGGAAGACCCAAGATTGGGTCTTCAAATGATCACGGGAAAGAAAGAAATGAGAGACCAAAAGATTAAAAATCAGCTATTAATTAAGGCCTGAACTAGCTGGGTGGAGAAGTCTAGTAATGCCCTGAGGGGAAAGACTGCCTTACTGCATTTTTTCTCCACCCACAAGAGATACAGTTGCTAGGAAACTGGCCCATACCCCTAGGGAGGGACACCAGGTCATTATGGTCTAGGGACCTTTCGATAACCAATCAATTCAAAATGTAGCATTTTGACCAGCAGATGCTTGCCAGTCAGGAATTGCCCCTACCTTGGGCATGCTGGGATTGACCAAAATTTTTAAATCACCCAAATAACCTGGGCGTGGGGCACTTGGCTCCCACTGCTTTGGCGGTGGGAAGTGTGGGCCCAAGCTGCAGCTTGTAATTTACAATAAAAAGAACCTCATGTATTTACAGCAGAGTCTGTTTATTCCTGGTCTTTTGGAGTTCGTGAATTGGGCAGAACAGTATCATTTGGGCTAGCTCATCACATTTTCCCCCTTTAATCCTTTTGAGTCTGAATATGAATCAGTTGTATGAAGCAAATAAGTTGATGCCACAAAGAAAATGGAAGCATAAATCAATGTATGTAATTTGGATGTGGCAGCACATGCCTGTAATACTACTGGAGAAGTAGAAACAGGAAGATGAGGGTTCAAGTTAGCCTCAGTTACTTAGTAAGTTTGACTCTACCTTGGGCTACTTGAGGTCCTGTCTCAAAGAAATCTTGCAAACAAACATAACTTTCTCTGTTGCTATCTCTGTCTGTCTGTCTGTCTGTCTGTCTCTCTCTGTGCATTTTCAAAGTGTTTAGCAACATTTGAGAAATCACTATATTGGCACCAATTTGAATGTGTGTGAAGAACAGGAGAAACAACTCTTCAAAGGGCTAGTTTTTTTTTAATTATGAAACAAACATTAAACTCTTGTAAGCTTCTTTGGTCAAATAGTACTGGACAAATAATGCAAGAATATGGACTAGAAGAAAATAAAAAATTGCATTTTGTTTTATGTTGTGAGTGAGGACCAACTCTTGGGGAATGTCACCATGGAGTTAGGCAAGAAAATGGTGCTTGATTTTCTATTCCTGGGCTTCAGTGCCAGGGCAGTAATTAAGAAAAAAAGGAGTTGAGCCTGTGACACTTTCCCAGTTCCATTTGCTTTTGTGAGACCCTCTGTACCATTATTGAGCACTGACATCCTTGTCTCTGAATCTTTTTCATTGTGCATATAGCTGTAGTGTTGTCTATAGTTTAGGCATTTCTTTACAGCCAAAAGACTCCACAATGGTGTAATCAAGGAGGCATAGAAGCTAATTAACTATGGTTGGGTTTTGATTCCCATTCAACTTTCTAATAAGAGCTTTAACAATTAGGTTTTGTAACACTGTGTGGGTAGGTTCTTCCTGTATTCTCATGTACCTGTGTGTGCTCATAAAAATGTGAAGGCTGTTACATGTGGAAAGCCACCCTAAGAAGGGGTGAAATGTCTCAATATGAAGGCTGGAGTCATTAGACACCTTTAGAAGGAGCACATAACCTCTGGGGTGGAGGTAAGATCAGTGGGATGGGTTCTGCCTTCCAATCATTGCTCTTTCGCGTTATTCCTCTCTGGTCCCTGCCTTTCCCAGTAAAATAAGCATGCTGCAGCTCAGATGTTTTTTTGCCCTTTCTGCCTAGTCCTATATTCACTTCTGATCTGTACCTCTAACTGAGTTCAGGTAAACCAAGATGTTCCATTTCAAACTGTGTGAATTTATAATCTTTGCAACAAAATACATGACCACAACAACTTAAGAGGGGTACAATTTATCTTGGTTATGGTTTTGGAGGGCTGCCTGTGGTTGTGGGGCTGGTAGTGAGGGAGGCCATCATAGTGGAAGAGCCAGTGAAGAGCTGATCTCATTCACAGAAGCTGAGAAGAAGCTGAGAACAGGCAGGGAGTCTATCCTAACTGGCCTTTCTCCTTTTCCTTTCATCTGAGTCCCTCACTTGATAGATGGCATTGCTCACAGTCAGGTTTTCCCAATTTTGTTTCTATCCCACATGTATCATCTCTGGAAACACCCTCACAGACACACCCAAAAGTGTGCTTTCCTAGGCTCCTTGAGGTCTCTCACTACCGTCAAGCTGTTAAGATTTTAAGCATCACAGACTTCATTTTTTATCTTCCACTTCCTGCTGAGTTTGCTTTTACTAGCACTGCTTTTGCAAGAAAAATTTCTAGCAGGTGAAAAGAGAGAGAGAGAGAGAGAGACTTTCAGAACAGTATAAAATGTGTGTATTGTGAGGCATAATGTGGCTTCCAAATTCATTTCTCCTTCAAACTTCTGATTGCTACCTTCCTTCTGGGTAAGATCTCTGCACATGGGACTAAGTCAAGATGCAGTCCCACTGTATCAGAATGCTCAAAATGACTATCCTTAGAAGAGAGAACTTTGCTTCTTCACAGAAAAAGAAATAGTTAACAGAATGAATAGCTGTTACAGAATGAGGGGAACCTTGCTCAGCTCTACATCCAAGCAATGACAACACACCAGTTAAGTCTCCAGCAAGCATACATGTGGAAACATTTATAGCCACAAACTAAAACCATATTGAGATTATGCCTTACCCTAGTCAGAAAGGCAGTTATCTGAAAAGAAAACCACCAAATGTCATGTGGCTGTGGACAAAAGGGAATACAGCATTTGCCCAGCTCTACTGAAAGCAGCGTGGAGGGTTCTCCAAAAACAACAGAACTTCCGTTTGATCCAGCTGTCTTCCAGGTATTTACCCCAAAGACTACAAAGTCAACATATCACAGAGACACTTGCAGATCGATGATTATTGCAGCATTATTCACAATGGCTGAGGTGTGGAATCAGCCCAGACGTCCAACAACAGAAGAGTGGGTAAGAAAAGTGTGTTCCATACACATAACAAAAAACTCTCGGCCATAAAGAAGAATAGTATTATATCACCTGCAGGAAAGTAGATGAAATTGGAGATAGTCATACCAAAGTTAAGTCAGTCTCAGAAAGACAAACCTAGCACATTTTTTTTCTCATTTGTTGCTTCTAAACTTTATGTAGTCACATAAAATTATGTACACACCGATCAAGTCAAAGTGAAGTGGAATTGCCTAGGTGAATGAAAAGGACTGAGGGGGGTGGTGAGAGAAAGGGAAGAAGAAGAAGAACAAGGAAGGGAGTACATGCTCTCTGGAGTATATAGCCTTGAGAAAATCTTGAAAACTTAATGAAATAGAAACATAAAATATGGTTTTTCAGAATTGGAGCTTTTGAGGTGTATGATGATTTGACAACTAAATAAAGGCACTGTAACAAAGAGCAGACAAAACTAAATAACTGCACAGATCCATGATATAAAATCCAGTCACCATCATCAGAGGCAGCCACGAGACCAAAGAGTCAGCCCTAGGGCTTCATAAAGTGAAATTCAGTGAGGATTCATAGACAGAAGCAATATGGTGGGCAGTTTCAAGAAAGATCCTTGTATCCCAAGGGCACAATACAGCCTTCTCAACATGGTCAAATGTGAGTTAAAGTGGAGTCTGAGTATTGCAATCAAGATGCCATGCTTGACTATCTGACACTCTGTTCTATAGGATTTGATGCAGCAATGTGTAGTTATAATCAAGGTAGCTGTCACCCAGTAGCAATACCACCCGGGCAATTGAAACCATGCCAAGTTAGTTCACTGAGTGTGAATGAGTCATGATGTTAGCACATATATTTTAAAAATCTATAAAGGTATCTTACAATTAGCCTCATATGTAATTCATTTTATTACATTTTATAAGCAATATTATATCAGTTAAGTGATAACAGTGGTTTGCAACCAAGTAGCCAGAATTGGAAGAACTGTGTAATGGTGAATGGAGGGGGAAAGAGGTCTTGAAAATAGAAGGTATTAAAAATTTTTAAAACTTGTTTTTAATAGCTGAGTAGTATTCCATTGTTTAAATGTACCGCAATTTCTGTATCCATTCCTCTGTTGAGGGACATCTAGGTTGTTTCCAGCTTCTAGTTATTACTAATAGAGCTGCTACAAACATGGTTGAGCAAATGTCCTTGTTCTATACTTGACCATCTTTTGGATATATGCTCTGATCACCTTCCCCTGAAGCAGGGAGCAGCTTTACCAGGCCACAGAGGAAGACAGTGCAACCAGTCCTGATGAGACCTGATAGTCTAGGGTCAAATAGAAAGGGAGGAGGACCTCCCTTATTAGTGGATTGGGAGAGGGGTAAGGGAGGAGAAGAGAGAGGGAGGATAGGCATGGGAAGGGATGAAGGAGGGGGCCACAGCCAGGATACAAATTGAATAACTTGTAATAAATGATAATAAGTAAAATAGGAAAAAAAAAACCCTTTCAAACTGGAAACCAAAAGGATATTGAAACTTCTTCCATTTCTAAAAGCTCAAATGTCAGTCTCCAAAGACAGAGACTTTCCCTAACTACTTTCCCTAACTATGAGCTGTGCTCATATTAATTGGTCTGTGTTCTGACATGACCTCGTTGTCATTGTGAGGAATTCTGCCACCTATTGTGAGGGAGTCTGAGCCAGCAGGTATAAGGGCTGGCTAGGTTGGCTTTCTGTGGGTGTTCTGTGAGAGAATCTGGGTAGTGTTCACTGGAGTTTGACTGACACACAGTGAACTTGTTTGTATGTGTGTGTGCCTTTGTGTGCAAATGTTTCTTTTGCTTTTGGGTATTTGGTTTTTATTTTGGGTTTTCAGTTTTTATTTTCTTGTTCTGTATGTTAGGGAGAGGGTAAATTTTGTTTGGGTTTAATTTTTTAACATGTATTTTCACTCTACTTTTTAGTTTTTTACGCTTATTTATTTGAGTAGCTTTGCTACCAGTGATGTGCGGTCCATGGAGTAAATCAACAGCAGTGTCCAGCCCTGTGCCCACCCTCTCATTACAGACCCTGGGAGCACAGTACACCATCCTAAGGACCATTGGCCAGGGCGGCTGTGCCCAGGTGAAGCTGGCCCACCACCGCCTCACGGGTGCTGCTGTGGCGATAAAAGTCCTGCAGAAGTGGCAAAACCAGGCCTACCCAATTAGGTCTGAAGTGGGGATCATGAAGATGGTGAACCATCCCAACATCATCTCACTGCTTCAGATCATTGAAACCGAAGAGAACATCTTTCTGATTCTGGAACTGGCTGATGGATGTGAGCTGTGGGATTGGATCCAGCAAGTTGGCTACCTGCATGAGGGCTTGGCCCGGAAAATATTCAGGCAGATCGTACATGCCATGTGCTACTGCCATGACCTAGGTATAGTTCACAGGGACCTCAAACCAGATAACATCATGGTGGATCCCACAGGCAAAGTCAAAGTCATAGACTTTGGGCTGGGTGCCCTAGTTACGCCCGGGATGAAACTTTCTAGGTTCTGCGGTGCCTTACAATTTGGTGCTCCAGAATGCTTCCTGCGCCAACCCTATGATGGCACCAAAGTAGACACATGGAACTTGGGTGTTCTCCTGTATTTTATAGTGACAGGGACCTTGCCATTTGAAGGTGACACCTTTCAAGAGCTTGAGTGCCAAGTTTTGCTAGGAGAGTATGATGTTCCCCCCCATTTCTCACAAGAGCTGCAGGACATTATCCGATGCTTATTAACTGTAAATCCTATGGAGAGACCAACACTGAAGGATATTATGGAGCATCCTTGGCTTAGGCAAGAAGATGAGGGTTCATCAAACCATTGTGATGATATGAACCCTAGTTGCCTGGACCCTGCAATCATGACTGCCATGGCAGATATGGGGTTCAACCCACATGACATCCAGAAATCTTTACTCCATAGGTTGTTTAATGAACCCATGGCAACTTATGGCCTATTGCAATGCCAGGCACGTAAACAGGATGACTCCATCAGCCAAGCCGAGCCAGTGCAACCAGGAATAACACCCTTCCCGACTCCCACAGATTCTGCCACCTTCCCTTGGTACCAAAAGAGGACAGTTGACAGGCCAGCCATTCGAGTCTTTCTCTCATTATCCTTGAAAAGTGACTCTCCAGAGGACAGCCAGCAGGTAGGGAAGAGGCTGAGAACTGCCACCATGCCTGTAATTCCCAGCCACTGCCTACAGAAGAGGACACCCATTCCTGATGCTTTTGGGGTCTCCACAAAGACACAGCACAGTGGAACTACAGATACAATCCAAGGTGCACTCAGGGCCTGGGAGAGGAGGATGAGGAGGATTGGGGCCAGTTTATTACAGCTCTGCTCCTGCCTGCCACCCAAGAAGAAAAAAGTGGTACCCCAAAAGGAGGGATAGCAGGAAAAGACAGGAAGCCAGAGCTAGCCAGGAGGTACTGAGATCCTGTAAATAATGAACTTACGGTGTTGGGGATCATTCTTGAGTGGACTCAAAGAGTAGCTGAGAGGGACCCATGCAGACTGTCCAGAGGCCTGGGTGGAGTGAGGAGAGAGGCAGCAAATGCTCAGGAGTCTTCAAGTGGATTCTACTCAGCAGGGATGTAGCCTTCCAAAGCATCCTGGCTAAAGGCTTGCAAGTGAGCTGGAAGACAGACACCTTGCTGCCTGCTGAGTATCCTGTTAGACTGCAGCATGTGGGCGTTTCCCTGTGCTGCCCATCTGTGCTGAGATGACACTGTAGATTACAGCACTTTCCAAATGTACTTTTTTACTCTTTTACAGTAAAATTTATCATAAAGACTGCTCATTAGTCTTAGAATAAAGTTGATAAAGACAGAATATCATATAATATGTATATATATATATACATATATATGTATGTGAGTGTGTGTATGTGTGTGTGTGATTTGCCTATAAGCCAAAGTTTGCCAACAACCTCCAGAACCTTAAAAAAAAAAAGACAAAGGAATTCCCCATTGAGCCAGAAAAAAAATGGCACTGTCTTTGTTTCCTGTTATCCTCATAGAAGGGTCAGCTTCAGACCCATCACCCACTTCCCTGGTAACACCAGTTTTAAGAAAAGGAAGCATAATTGTCCCTCAAACTAAAATTTAAAATACCTCAAGAAAGTGGGTGGGGAAAGCATGGTTATTTAAAGGTTCATGATGGGAAACTAGTCTTTGTAGACAAGAATAGAATCTGGGTTCTACCTCTGGCCCTGGGCAAAGGCAGAACATTCTAAGCTGCCCAAGGTTTCATGCATTCATGAAACCTTAACCTGAATGCATGTGACCCTTTCTATATGTTCTCTGAATGTCACCCAAAGCCTGAAGCGCTTGCACTCACCCTCTCCATTGTTCTCTTGGACCCAAAGTCAAAAGGGCACAACTGTTTTCTCCTATCGTCCGTCTTCCAGTCTGCTGAGAGGACTGTAATAAAATGTTTTTTAAAGCTTCTAAGTGGGCTTTAATTATTTTCCTTATCACAGTGTACTAAAGGAAACTCCATTATCCAGTAATGTGCTAGTTATGGTTTGTGTTGTGTTTTTGCTGTTGGTGCCCTCAGTTCACATTATTGGGTTTGCTTAAATTGTCTAGGCAGATTGTCTTAACTCACGGAGACATTCGGAAACTTGCTAGTTTCTCAGACTGCTGCATGCTCAGGGCACTACCTGACCTGCCACTAACACCTACTGGATGAATGCCAGGGGCACAGCATCTACAGATGAAGGACCCTGCCCGAGTGAGGCTTGGGGACAGGTGATGTGGCTTTAGGGAGATCAGGGCTCAGGATCAAATCAGCCGCCTGCATTTCACACCGAGGGAATAGCAATAGAAAAAAGGGGGCCTGTGCATTAGGGCAGCTGTGCCTGTTTTGTTTATTTCACCTTGTGTTTGTTTCTGTTAATCTCATATTCAGTAAAGATTATATATGGTCAATACATATTTTAAAACTCCTACTTTTTTTCCATGATAAAGTACAAATAATCCTTTTTTTTTTTTTTGATGGGTATGTTCCAACAAACCTGTAGGTTGAAAATGTCAGAGTACCCCTTCCTGTGTATGCCTTCAGTATCGACATTTGAAGAATAGCCTCAAGTGTGAGGCCTTAGCTTCTATCTTATTTGAGACAGCATCTCTGGTTTTCCTATTGTGTAAGTCAGGCTAGCTGGCCTAGCAGTTTAGGGGACTTCACTTATGTCTGCTGCCCACTTCAGCACAGGAGCTGTGGGGCTACAGATATGCATGCTACTGTTGCAGCTCTTTTGTGGATTCTGGGCCTTTGCCCTCATTGCTCTAGGACAGTGATTTCTTCATCCACTGAACTATCTTATTGCTCCTCTTTTTTTCTTTGAGACAGGGTGTCAATGTATCCCAGGTTTGCAATGACCTTGGACTTATAATCCTGCTTCCTAATTTATGTTCTGGAACTCAGGGGTTCATGCATGCCAGTCAGCTACTCCATCAATATAGCTACATTCCCAATTATTATACCCAATTTTCACAGCCACCATTCAGCATGGTAAGAAAGGATCGTGGGATTAGGATGGAGAAAAATTCAGGAGAAGTAAACTGTTCCTCCTAAATGTAGATTACCTTTGCTTCATTGTGAGCTGTGAAACCAAAAAATCTTAAACCATGGTAAATTAGAGACTGTATATATTGGAAGGCCATTTTCCTCCCTTGATATATCAGTTACAAAATATCAGCTCCTGAACAACTGGAAATAACAGCAGCAGCAACAACAACAGAAGGGTCTGAGGAGGTAGTTTACAAGCATTATTTGATTCCCCGTGCCCATGTAAAAGCTGGGCACTGTGATGTGTATCTGTATATCTGTAACTTTCACGCTTACACATGGCTGAGAGGTGAATCCCTGGAGTGCACTGGCAGCTCAAAACCTGTAACTCACCTCAGATCTGATGCCCTTTTCTGGCCTCTGCAGTCATCTGCACATGCACGAATGTGTACACCAAACACACACACACACACACACACACACACACACACACACACACACAAAAGCCCACTAAGCTGATTCCAGATTCCAGTAAGAATCTCTGGATAGAAGACAAAGATTCTAAGCTTCTAGCCTTCTTTTTGGTTGGAGCACCATGCATTTTATTTGTTTGCTTATTAATTTATCTGTTTATTTCTTTGAAATTTTCATGCATGAACATAATAATATATTTTGATTTTTTTTTTAGTTTCTATTTTTATGGTCCACTGAAGGCATTACTACATAATGTTTGATGTCATATACATAGTCAAAATGTTGCTACAATGAAACCACACTATATCAAGAGCACTGCAACTCTGCTGGAAAGTCTTTATGCTGTATGATTATGGAAGGAGAGCAGCAAATGAAAGTACAGTGGGTTTCTTGGTAGAAATGATGAGGAAGACAAAGCAGATTGCACCTTGCCAATGGGGCTGAGTCAGAGGGAAAAAAATATCCCAAGATATGTAGGAGAATGTTCGAAGGTTTGGTATTCTCTGAGCCCAGCCTAGAAAAGCTGTTGGGACATGATTCCCAGTTCAATCCAGCCCTCTTTAGCTGGTGGTGTTATGTATTTTTTCTCCATCTTGGGGACTAAACCACAGGCCCACATTCCAAGCAATGTTGATACAATCTTAAAAGCTCTACCAATAGAGAAAAGGAAAGCATCATGGAGGGAAAAGATCCAAATACTAATATATATTCTGTCACTAACTTAACCAGTTTTCTGGGCTTTCAGTTCAACTATAGAAGCAGTGAAATCTTATAATGATGTGTTTATGCCTTCAGAATCCTGAACAAACTCAACATGCTGGAAGACAAGCCTGTGAAACATCCCCAACTGGTGAACTGGCAGCATGGATTCTATAGTTCAGGAACTTGAATGGAGGCAAAGGAAATGAGAGTCAGCCTCCAAAAAGAGGGCAAAGGCTTATCCAGTATTAGTTCCATGTTTTCCATTGCCTTCTGCTGCATAATGACATGAAACTTTCAAGCTGGAATTTGTGTTTGTATGTGTAGAGGGAAGTATATGTATGTATTCATGTGTGGGGATGTGCATATGGAGGAGGCTAGAGATCCATGTCAGTTTTCTTCCTCAACCACTCTCAGTTTTTCTACAGAGTGTATGTATGACAATTATATGTCATGGGAGTGCAATGCCCATAGCGGCCTGCTGATGATTATTAATATGTAATATTGATTTATCTCTTAGTTAAACAGCAGTTATTCCTAAATCAGCTGCATACCCAAATCACCACACAGAGACTAGGATGCATTTAATTAACCCAGAGACAATGCTGAGCAATAATTACTTCATCCTAAACCTCCAAGCCTGAATAGCTTCCTCCCATTCAGATTTCTCACATTATACTTTCTTTTTAGTCATATCTTAGTTCTGGTTCATCTCTCCTGATGTTTCCAGGTCCTCTTCTCTTGGATCTTTCCTCCCAGAGCCTTCCTTTCTCCTCCCCTCCAGGCCAGGATGTCCCACCCTATTTTCTCCATTGCTCAGCATTGGTGGGTTAGTTTTATTGGAAATACGGAGAGCAAATGGTAGCATGTTTACACAAACTTGAGACAGGTGATGTTTAGAATAAGCATCACAATGCAATGTCCAGTTTGAAAACAGAGAGTGGGGTAGAAAAACCAACATTTGAATGAAGGGTAAATGTATACATTCCACAAGAACATTGTACCAACAGTGGCCAAAGATTATATTGGACCTCTTGGAGCTATCATTACAGGTACTTATGAGCTGCCTCACATAGGTGCTGGGAACTGAACCTGGGTTCTGTTGAAGAGAGGCACAGGCTCTTCCGAACTATCTCCCCAGCCCCAAAGCAGATATTTCATTGGCTGAAGATTTGTTTTGCTAATTGTGGGAAGTTACAACATGAAACAAGATGAAGTCCCAGTCCTGCCATTTTAGGAGCCTCTGCCATGCCTTTGCTGAGGACACAGCCTTCTCTGTTTTTCTTTGGACACCCTCTTTACTTGCCAACCCTCAGCTCCTCATATTCCCATGTGTTTTAGTCAAGGAGAATTCTAACCCTCACTTCTTGTTCATACCCAGTTGCCCCCTGGTCTACTTTATTTGTTCATCTGGCTTGTACACACAATTGTTTTTTGCTAATTGCAACTTCAGTGAGTGAGAAATAAGACTTGTAGAAGCGGGACAGTCCAGGATATGATTTCCTTCATTACCATAAGATTTGCATTTTATTTTTAATAGTGTGCATTTTTATTAGTTTGTAATAAGATTATTAAAGCAAAAGTGTTCAAGGTTCCCTTCAGAAACAAATTATAGTTTCCTGGCTCACTCCTAATACATATATAGGAAGTTTTATTTTCCCAAAGACTCATAAACAGGGAAAGACAAAGATGCATACCCCTCCCATC